TGGTGGTGGTGGTGATGGTGATCGTGATGAAGGTCGCTAATAATTGTATGGTACTTACTATGTGCCACACAGTGTCCCAAGTATTTCTGCATTAACCCATAATGAGTTAGTGCTTGCTCACAATGAGCATTAACGCAAACCTCCCACACCAATCAGAGGTCAGTGCTATCCCATCCTCACCTTTCAGATGAGGGAACTGAGGCACAGAGCAGTAAAGGGACTTGACCGATGTCCCCTTTTCTGTAAGTGCTGAGAGCCTCAGCCTGGGAGGTCTCGGAGCCAACTCTGAGCAGATGGGAGTCCCTCAACCCCCTCCCTGCCCAGCCTCCTTCCTACAAGACACCCGGGCTGGCTGAGGCCAAAATGCCTCCCCCATGGCCACGCCCAGCATGGAGGAGGGTGGTCTCCCAGGAGTCTAGCCCTGTGCTCTGGGGGTGGCCCTCTGGCTCCTTGTGCGCCCCTCCCATCTTTGCAACCCCAGGGTTCCCCTCCTATGCCACCCCACCAGCCCTGGGCCACTGAGTCCCCTCAGCCACTGGCTGTGCAGGCGGCTCCACCCCTGCAGGGCTCCCTGTGCCCCAGGGACCTGGGCCGCCCCTGCTGTGGCCTCAGGCAGCCCAGGCTGAGACGCCAGGTGTGTGGGCTGCCCACTTCTCATCGTGGGCCTCTGCAAACTGCAGAAAGGCGGGGGGCTGTCCCAGAGCCCCAGCAGCTGCAGCTTCTCAGCCTCCCCTGGGAACGCGCTAGAAAAACATGCTCTGCAGCCCAACCACAAATTGGGTCTCTGGCCAGGCCCGGGCTCTACAGCCCCTGCAGGAGATTCCAGCAACCCGGTGGTCACTTGGGTTTTCCTGCTGATAACATCAGGCATTTTCCCTTCATGTGTTTTCTGAAATAGCTTAAAATACACCACAAACATCATGACCCTCCGTCCTAAATGCTAAGCGCCATCTGTCCTCAGTTTGTTCAAGTTAAGGCTCTATCAAGGATCAGGCATTGCATCTGGTCGTCAGGACTCCTGAGTCAGTCATTCAGTGTCTCTGTCTCTCTCTCTGTTTCTCTCTCCCTCGCTCCCTCCCTCTCATTGAATCGATTTACGAAAGTTTTCCCTGGGTCAATAAAAGGATAAATATCTTCACATCTTCCTTGGAATAAAATCTTTTTCCCTTTTATTACTATTACTAGTTTTGGTATCAGGAGTCAAACTCAAGACCTTGCGCTTGCCAGGCAGGCGCTGCACTGCTGAGCTACATCCCTGGCCCCTCTGCTTTCATTTTTTGAGGCAAAGTCTTGGGGCTGCGGATGCGGCTCAGTGGTAGAGCTCTTGCCTTGCATGCACAAGGGCCTGGGTTCAGTCCCCAGCATCACCAAGAAAAGACTAAAGTCTTGCTAAGTACTCCAGGCTGGCTTTGAACTTGCAGTCCTCCTGCCTCAGCTTCCAGAGTGCTGGGATTCCAGGCAGGTGCCACCACCCCAACCCAACATAGTTTTAGAGCACTAAGTATCATTTGCTTATTGAAGCCTCAGAACATTTTTTAATTGTGGTAACATACACTTGGCCTGTGACTCGCCACTCTGAAGTGTAGGACTCATGGCCTTCCGCACACCCTGCCTGGCACACCTCCCTCACCCCAGTGGGCAACTCACCCCCACGCTGGGAAACCACCAACTGCTTCCTGTCTCCAGGCATCTGCCCATCTGAGCCTTTCATCCAAATGGAATCAGAGTGTCGGATAGAATTTAAACCAGCCTTTTATGGAGTTTAGCACAAAACACTCTCTCTCTGTCTCACACACACACACACACACACACACACACACACACACAGAGTCAGCGTAGCTCAGCAGTTTCCCAGAGGGAACGCGCCAGTGTAATTAACACTTAGATCTAGGAACAAGCCTCGATGTCCTGCCTTCTCCTCACAGATCAGCGAAGCTGTCTCTGTCTGTTTGAAAGGCTGGGATGGAACCCAAGGCCTTGGCAGTGAGCCACGTATATATTATCTTGATACAAGGTCTCGCTAAATGGCCCAGACTGGTCTTAAATTTGCAATCCTCCTCCCTCAGCTTCCAGAGGGCTGGGGTCACCGGTGTGTACGACCATGCCCTGCTGTACCTTCAGGCCCCTGCCAGGAGAGGAGGTCTACCTTAACTCAGTTTCATGAGACCTGGGCTTTTAAAAAAAAATTTTTTTAAGCCAGGCATGGTGGTGCATGCCTGTAATCCCAGCACTCGGGAGGCTGAGGCAGGAGGATCCATGTGAGTTCAAGGCCAGCCTGGGCTACAAAGTGAGCTCAAGGCCGGCCTGAACTGCATAGCAAGTCCCTTTCTCAGAAAGACAAAAAAAATAAAAAATTTAAAACAGGGTCTCACTAAGCTGCCCAGGCTGAGCCCCAGCTTGCGCCAGGTGCTCCCAGAGTGCCGGGATGCCATTGTGCACCACCGTGTTTGAACTGTTTGAGTGAATCACAAAGCACTGCTTGTGTCTGCTCTCGGGGCTTGTGTGACTCTGCTGGAGCCATGGAGCAGGCAGCTTAACCAGCAGAACTGTGCTGGACAGGGTCATAATCTACAGTGTCAAAATGTACCCAGTGCTGCACTGGGTGAGCTGCCTTGTGCAGTGCACAACCCCTACAGATGGTCAGTGCTTCCCCATGCACTGAATCAGACACAGTAAATTGTCAGACTCAAGAAAATGGGGCCCAGGGACAGATAGGCACGAAGAAGCAACACGGGCATGGAAACAGGGATTAAGCCAGGTGTGGCAGCGCACGCCTGTAATCCCAGCACTTGGGAGGCTGAGGCAGGAGAATCGTTGCGAGTTTGAGACCAGCCTGGGCTACAAAGTGAGCTCAAGGCCAG